CCGTTTGTCTCTCACCACAACCCGAGCGCACCAGCATACGCTCCACTGGAGAAAGTGTACAGCGACATACTGTACAATCGCAAAAGCGGACAAGGAGCGTATAACTATGTCATCATGTTCACGCCACACGATACGTCTGGCACTTCAACCTCCCGAGCCGCGACATGGCCTTCGAAAATTTCGTCGCCTGGTTTCCAACAGCAGAACGGGAATCAGGAGTGAAGCTGAAAAGCTTCCAGTCACAGAGGTTCAAGCAGTACCTGGTAGAGAAAGGCATCAAGCGGCTCATTTCCCTTCCCTACGCCCATCAACAGCAAGGCGTGGCAAAAAGGATGAACAGAACCCTCCAAAACACCATGCGCAAACTACTACATGGCATGCGGCTACCCAACCACCAGTGGCCCGAAGCAATGGACCATGCTGTGATGCTGCACAACTTGCTTTCGTCATCATCGCTCCCGAACAACGCATCACCGCACCTGCTGTGGACAGGGAAAATTGGGCAGCACAAAATGTTACGCGTGTTCGGCTGTATGGTACAGTACCGACCCCCAACTGTGAGAGCCGGCCGATTCTCCCAACGCACACAGTCGGGACTACAGCTGGGCATCGAAAAGAACTACAACACGTAGAAGATTTTTTACGTCTACTCGAAGGAAACAGTAGCAGCACATGATGTGATTTTCTACGAACGACTCACTCTCCCAACATACATTGCCAACCTGGAAGAAGAACGAGACCCCACGGGCGGATTTCATGGTGACCGAGCCTTCGCATCGGCAGCAGATGAAGCTGACTGGGAGGAGCAGAACGTGGGCGGAGCATCGGAGGAAGCTGGACCCCTACTCTACTGTTCGGTTGACATCCCGATGGAATACGACAACCCTCGCGAAAGCATCAACGACGAAGTCTACTACGACTTCGCCGACAACAGTTACGTTACACCCCAGCCAGTCAACACCGACGTTTCAGAACGCATAGGACCCAATTTCTTACCCGATCCAGAAGCGGGAGACGAAGCAGTCTATCCCGAGGACACAAATCTCCCTCGCTACACACAGAGTGGGCTGCAGATACTGGAACTCGTCACCGCAGTCCACGGAGCAGCGACGCCTATGGAGCCTGCCACAGTTCAGCAGGCTCTTGAAGGGGAGCACAGGGAAAGCCATGGAGAGAGAGTTAAAAGCGCTGGAAGAACGCAACATCTGGAAAGTCGTACCTATCGGAGTCGCACGCAACAAAACCATCCTCACCGGGAAATGGGTCTTCCGCGTGAAGACAAAAGCTGACGGAGCGATCGACAAGTTTAAGGCGCGCTGGGTCGTACGTGGCTTCGACCAAGAGCACGGACGAGACTTTACCGAAACCTTTGCGCCAGTCAGCCGACACACCTCACTGCGGATTCTCCTCGCGATAGCCGCCATGAAGTGGAAGAAGCTCCGCCAAATCGACATCGCTAATGCCTTTCTGTACGCTCCCGTCGATGCTGAGATCTTTGCGAGCAACAGCCCGGCTCTAACGCAGATCCCAACCAAGTCTGTCAACTGCTGAAGCCCCTATATGGCATCAAGCAAGCTCCAAGGCTGTGGCAGTAATACCTACATGCTCGACTAATCCGAATTGGAGTCCGCCAACTACCGCACGACCAAGGGATGTACCAACGTACGAAAGGCGCCGACTACATCCTGCTCATCATCTACGTGGACGATTTACTCTACATCGGTTCAACCGACGGCATTACAACCTGGTTTGAAGGGGAGCTGCAGGGGACCTCACACTCACCGTCTCTTCAACCGTCACGCAGTACTTGGGACAAAACATACAAGACGGGGAGAACGCCATCTACCTCAGCGCCGCAAAATACGCCGACACCATCGCCAAGCGCTTCGGACTAACCCCAGCCGCCATCACCACACCGTACCGCTACACTGACCGAAATCGCAAGGAAACCTCCGCTCTGCTCAAATCCGCCGGCATACGCGACTACCAGCGAAAGCTGGGATGTCTGCTCTTCGCAGTCGTTACCTGCCGACCGGACCTATCGTACGCAGCGAGCCAACTCGCCACCTACCTCAAGAAGCCTGAAGTAGATCACATGGCCGAGCTCGACCGCGCTCTTCACTACCTTATCAGCACCCCGACGATCGGACCTACCACGAGAGCGGAACCTCTATACCTAAGCTAATCGGCCACGTGGATGCTGACCACGCCGGCGACTCCGACAACAGACGATCACGCACCGGCTACATCTACCGACTCGAGCCTATCGGACCTATCTCGTGGCAGTCGAGCAAACAAGAATTAATCGCTCTCTCCTCAGCTGAAGTATAATATATCGCACTCTGCTCAGCCTCCAAGGAAGAAGCGAAGCTGGCCGAGTTACCCAGCTTCTCCCTGATCTGCGACAACCAATCGGCCATTCGCATAGCGAACAAGAACGGGTTCACGAATCAAACGAAACACATCGCCCTTCGGTACTTCTTCGTGAAAGATGAGATCGAGAAGGGAAGACTCGAGCTATCCTACTGTCCTACATCCGAGATGGCAGCCGACTACTTGACCAAAAAACTCGGAAAGCAAAAGTTCGAGTACTGCATGCTGCTGACTGGACAAAGCCACGTCACCAGCAGCAACACTCCAGAAGGGGAGTGTTGGAAACAAGTAATTTAACGCTCCTGTTGTGTCGAAACAATAGACTGCAAACGAGGCGAATCACAGCAAAGCAACGGTGAGTCAACCGAGGAGGTTGACAGAAAGTAACAGCTGGAGGTTACGCGAAGGTCAAAGGTCAGCGACCTTTGACTCGACGAAATACAGCGCGACAGCAAGGACAAACAACTGACTCGGTATTGAGCAGTTGCCCGAGTCGTCACTGTATCGAACCTCAACAGCAACAGTAAACAGGGCTGATTTATCAGGGGAATTATCCTGATTTCAGGGTGATTTCAGGCTTCCCATTTTGCAGAGACTGAGATTTCAGAATTACTGAGTTCTCAACCCTGTTCAAATCAGAGTAATAGTTTTCCTATCCCTGATTTTGAGTAAAGTGTAATAGACTAGCCTGTTAGTGGACCCTGACTTAATAGGGTATCGAATCTGTGGTCCCTGATTTTGACCTTATCGAGAGGAAGTTTCTCGAAAATTTCCTTCTGATATCCCCCTTCGGATTGATCCCAGTACAGGCATCGCGTGAGAGACGGACAGCAGCATGTCTAACAGGCGAGTACACTCGATGTTTGTTACTTTCTCGAATTGCGAATAAGTTGTTCTACAGTCGTAATTGCATGTGCGTGAAGTTGCTAGAACCTTTTGCGTTTCGCACTGCGATATTGGCGACATTCAGGTACTCAGCGAATTAAAAACTTGGCACATCTGTGGTATCGAATTGAAATGTTTGGTTGACCGAAATCACTTATCTCTTCCCGACACTACCGTATTACCCCGGATTATATACGCAGGTGCGCTTATAATAAATCGGTGTTTTTTGGGGGGGTGCGCTTATAAATGAGTCACGGGCATAAGCACATGTGCTCATATAATGACAAATACAACAAGATTCGACGTTAACGTCGGTAGGGTTGCGTAGCGTCGTATTCTGTATGTTACAAGCATTATGATGGAGTATATAATACTCTACTTATAGAAGCAATTCACGAAGTTCTTCCTATTGACTTAATACGGGACAAGTTCGATAGTTCCTTATGATGGAATAAAAATAGTATCTATATTTGTTTTCCTTATAAAGTTGTTTTGAGTGCTAATCACAACGGAACAATATGATAATTTTTAAAATTATTTTCACCATTAAGTTAATCTACTGTTTTACCAGGTTGCAATAGCGAGTTAGTTTGTTTGAAACTACTGTAACTGATGTGTCAGCGAGTTGGATGGCGTGGTTTTCCACGTGACACTAGTTTCCAACATATCCGTTCCTTTCACAGCTGTCAACTTGAATTCGATGCTCGATTCTTGGTTCTTGCTTCGTTCTTGGTTCTTGTTCTTGTTTCCTCTCGACAGCACCTCCTCTGCTCTTCGTTACTGTACTCCTTTTCCTCCCCACCCCAATTTCTTCTCCAACCCGATTCATCCTCCCGTCGCGACTCCCTGCCATCTTGCTATCCTTCGTAGTTACACCCCGCTGTCACCGATACCTCCCACTCAGTTGTCGCTCTCCCTCCCATCCCGCCGTATCTTCTCCCTTACCTCCCCGCCGTCGCCTCTCCTCCCCCCCGCCGTCGCCTCTCCCACCTCCCCGCCGTCGCCTCTCCCTCCTCCCCGTCGTCGCCTCTCCCTCCTCCCCGCCTTCGCGTCTCCCTCCTCCCAGTCGTCGCCTCTCCCTCCTCCCCGCCGTCGCCTCTCCCACCTTCCCGCCGTCGCCTCTCCCTCCTCCCCGCCGTCGCCTCTCCCTCCTCCCCGCCGTCGCCTCTCCCTCCTCCCTGCCTTCGCGTATCCCTCCTCCCAGTCGTCGCCTCTCCCTCCTCCCCGCCGTCGCCTCTCCCACCTCCCCGCCGTCGCCTCTCCCACCTCCCCGCCGTCGCCTCTCCCACCTCCCCGTCGTCGCCTCTCCCTCCTCCCCGCCGTCGCCTCTCCCTCCTCCCCGCCGTCGCCTCTCGCTCCTCCCCGCGGTCGCCTCTCCCCACTCCCCGCCGTCGCCTCTCCTTCCCTCTCCGCCGTCGCCTCCGGCGACAGGTGCACAAGCGCAAGCGCGGGTTGGTGCGCGATCGCGGGTTGGTGCGCGATCGCGGGTTGGTGCGCGAGCGCGGGTTGGTGCGTGAGCGCGGGTTGTATTCTCAGGCACCGTGGTTATCGGGTGCGTTCCCGGTCCTTCCCTCCTCCCTCCCCCTTTCTGAAATTTCCGTCCTGTTTTGTTTTGAACTTTTTTTTCTCTCTCTCTCTCCTTTTTTTTTTTCTCTCCAATGTGTCGATTGGTCTCCTCTTGCATTGCACTTTCATTTGAAGAAGAAAGAGATGGAGCGCGAGGGAGAGCGTGTGCGCATGAGAGAGCGTGTGAGAGGGCGCGTGAAGGAGCGGGTGAGGCAGCGTGTGAGAGAGCGCGTGAGAGAGCACGTGAGAGAGCGCGTGAGAGAGCGCGTGAGGAAGCACGTGAGAGAGCGCATCAGAGAGCACGTGAGAGAGCGCGTGAGGGTGCGCGTGAGGGTGCGCGTGAGGGTGCGCGTGAGGGTGCGCGTGAGGGTGCGCGTGAGGGTGCGCGTGAGGGTGCGTGTGAGAGAGCGCTGAGAGAGCGCGTGAGAGAGCACATGAGAGCGCGTGAGGGAGCGCCTGAGAGAGCGCATGAGAGAGCGCGTGTGAGTGCGCATGAGAGCGTGAGAGAGAAATGCGTGTGACAGTGCGCGAGAGAGCGCGTGAGAGAGACAATGTGGTGAGAGTGCGCGAGAGAGAGCGCGAGAGAGAGTGCGTGAGAGTGTGCCTGAGAGTGCGCTTTGAGAGAGCGCGTGAGAGAGTGCGTGAGAGAGCGCGTGAGAGAGCGCAAGAGGGCGCGTGAGAGCGCGTGAGGGAGCGCGTGAGAGAGCACGTGAGAGCGCGTGAGAGAGCATATGAGAGAGTGCGTGGAAGTGCGCGTGAGAGTGCGCATGAGAGAGCGCGTGAGAGAGCGCGTGAGGGAGCGCGTGAGAGAGCGCATGAGAGAGCGAGTGAGAGGGCGCGTGCGAGTGCGCGTGAGAGCGCAAGAGAGAGAATGCGTGTGATAGTCCGCGAGAGAGAGCGCGTGAGAGAGAGAATGTGGTGAGAGTGCGCGAGAGAGAGCGAAAGAGAGAGTGTGTGAGAGTGTGCCTGAGAGTGCACGAGGGAGCGCGTGAGAGAGCGTGAGAGAGAGCGTGAGAGTGCGCATGAGAGAGCGGGTGAGAGAGCGTGAGAGAGCTCGTGAGAGAGCGCGTGTGAGAGCGAGTGAGAGAGCGTATGAGGGAGCATGTGAGAGTGCGCGTGAGAGAGCGTTTGAGAGAGGGAATGTGCGTGAGAGTGCGCGAGAGAAAGGACGTGAGAGAGAAAATGCGCGTGAGCGTGCGGGAAAAAGAGCGCGAGAGAGAGCGCCTGAGAGTGCCCCTGAGAGTGCGCCTTGATAGAGCGCGTGAGAGCATGTGTGAGAGAGCTCATGAGAGAGCGCGAGAGAGCGAGTGAGGGTGCGCGTGAGAGAGTGTGCCAGAGAGCGCGCGAGTGAGCGTGCCAGAGAGCGCGCGAGAGAGCGCATGAGAGTGCGCGTGAGAGTGCGAGTGAGAGTGCGACTGAGAGAGCGCGTGAGGGAGCGCGTGAGAGAGCGCATGAGAGAGCGCGTGAGAGAGCGCATGAGCACGCTAGGACGTAAGCTCTAGCATCTATTCTGCTGGTGCTTGGACAGTTGGGGCTACTTATGCAATGAGTGACGCTTACTGCTTAAGGCAGACGGGTGCGTTGCCGCGCGCTGGCGTCTTTCTGGAGCTCATCGGCGCCTCGCAGCGCACTCGTGCATTGCAGTGCACTGGCGCCTTTCTGCTATGCGTTGACGCCTTGTGCAATGCATGTGAGGGAGGGTGGTTTGTATTTCTTGTTTGGCCTTCTGTAAGAGCACGTGTGTTGCGGTATCCTATATTTTCTTTCTTGTACACAGTGTATGAACATGCACTGATTTTTGTGCAAGGTGTGTTTTGCTTTCTTTGTTCTTGCTTTCTTGTGCAGGGCGTGTGTGTGTTGTCTTCCCTGTTAACTTTGTGCAGGGCGTGTGTGTGTTGACTTCCTTGTTTTTGCCTGGGCGTATGTATGTTGACTTCTCTGATTTTGCTTTGTGCAGGGCACGTGCGTGAGCTGAGAAGGGAGATGAGGGAGTGGGATGGAGATGAGGGAAGGAGGGAGGGAGGGTTGTAGGGAGGATAAGGTGGGATAGGTTAGCAAGCATTTATGCATTTCTGAAATTTATTAATGACGGTTGTGTGTTTATTACGGTATCTGTATCTCTCTGTGCTTGTTCGCGTGTGTGTTCATGTCTGTTCGTTGTGTTTGTTTCACTATGGGGTTGCATTTCGATGCGTTCACAACTGTTACGTGGTGTTGTACATTTTTTACGTACGTTTGCATTTGTGTTTGTGTTATGTGTGTTTCAAAGTGTGATGTTACTGTGTGTCATGTATGCAATTAGAGGTTGTTAATCGTCTTTGGGGCAGCGGGTTTTCGCTGTTTCAACGACCCCATCAACCTCTGTTGCTGCATGATGCATTTTAACATTCACTTTGAAGCATCCACTCCACCTCATACCTTGTTGTTCATTTGTACATTTGTGTTGATGCCAGAATATTATGCTCAGCCGTACGATCCGCCGTATTTATCGACGAGGTTGGGACGGTCGAGCAAGTTCATGGTTTCAACATGATACGTCGTTCCGGCATTTGGTTCTACATATGGAGATCTCATTCAAGAGTGTTTATATCCACTATTTGAGGCATCCGTTTGAACACATATTCAAAACATGCAAACGGGTGCTCCTAAAAGTGGTAAATTTCACTCTTTGAGTGATATCCCCAAAATGTCAAACCAAATATAAAGGGTTGCTACGCAACCCAAAAATATGTTTTAAACGCAACAAATTGTTCATCTTAGACTTAAGATTCCAATCGAATCGAAATGTTAGTGCGATCAGAATCGCGCAAGGGCGATTGATCCCCCCCACCCCCCTCCCCCCCCCCACGTGTTGTCAGTCAGCTTCATGCCGTTTCGCGCGAGGGCGATCGCTTGCCCCTACCCCCCCCCCCCCCCCCCCCGACACGTGCTGTCAGTCAGGTTCGTGCCGCTTTTCCCGCCCGAACCAGTATGTTGGCCGACTTGTGGAGCGTGTGAAAATTAAACGGGTGAAAATTAAACGGGTGAAAATTAGCGTGCTCAAAGTGTGCGCGTAACACAGAGCAGAGACTTTACGCAGAGCAAGACTTTTTCCCATGTAACAAAGGGCGCGTTACTACCCTGATCTTCGATTTTTGGCCCTGAATAATCCGAGTTACATACTTTTCAACCCTGAGAAATCAGGGTAGCATCATTCTGAAAAATGTGCACTCATGATAGAGGGGAAAAAATTTCCCCGGAATCAGGGAGGCCTAATATGAAACGTCAGCCCTGACAGTAAAACAGATAGTTGCACCTTTTCATATTCCTTGTAATCTTATAAAAGCCTCTGTATTACTTCGCTATAATTAATCTATCTTGCTCTCACAAACTAGTGCAAGGTGGTTCAACAAGTTCACTAAACGCTTCCGCAATTGCAATATTCTTACTCAGGATATTAGCCTTGAAAAGATCCAAAGGGCTTTTCTCAGCGCAACACTCGCGTCAAGGAAAATATTACGGAAAAAAACTTCAACTTTCTAAAGTGAGCTTGAGACTTCAAGTGGACCCAACCAACTAGAAGGGGGGGGTCACTATTTTAGCTGCTAGCTTAAAGTGTGGCAATTTTGTTAGAATAGGTAGCTAGGAATGATGAGACTATTGAAAAAGTCTGGTACAAAATAGGAACAAGGGGTTGTACCCGATAGTGGCTACCCCACTACAGCCTAGATAAATAACCTAAGCATATATGTTTGACACACCCCCATAGGCAAAGTGGGGGAGAACAAGGGGTCACAAGACCAGTCAAGAGAAGCAAAGCAAGCTCAGGGTGGATCACAACGTCACCACACACTCTGAGCACAAGCAAAGGGCCACAAGGCCAGTTCACATGCATAGGTATATAACTATCAGCAAGCAGTACAGTGCTCACTACCCAGCAAGCGTATGCATGCAGGTATATAATAGAGATCACAGTACAAGCAAGGTCAAGAGGTAAGTGTCAGAACGTTATAGCTTATACTTTTGTGTAGGCTGTAGTGGGGTATCCCATAAGGGGTACAACCCAATTAGGGTTAGTACTTGTACCCACTTCATCCATAGTTCATCCACTCTTGTTTCTTCTCATGGTATCGAGCAGGTTCCCTAGTGGGAACTGATCCTAGGGCCCACCATCGAAATTTTTTTTTTCTGCCCGAAGCGCGCTCCGCTTAGGCCCGAGTCGCGCCTCGGGTCCTCTCTCTACCGTCGCGGCCTCCCTCGAGCCGCCCTTGCTCGGCCGTCGCCGCCCTTAGCGGCCCGCCCGCCGCCCTTTTGACGCCCGCCCCGGCCACGTGAGCCGCCCGTCCCGTGCGACGCGGCCCCTGCGCCGCCTGTCCCGGCCCGTCGCCACCTGACGCGGCCCGACGCGGCCCGTGCGCCGCCTGTCCCGGCCCGTCGCCGCTCGTCGCGGCCCGTCGCCGCCCGGCCCGTCGCCGCCCGTCGCGGCCCGTGCGCCGCCTCCCCCGGCCCGTCGCCGCCCGTTGTGGCCCGTGCGCCGCCTGTCCCGGCCCGTCGCCGCCTGGCTCGTCGCCGCCCTACCCTACCTGCGGCCCCGCCGCCCTACCTAGCGGCCCCGCCGCCCTACCTAGCGGCCCCGCTGCCTCACTCGGCGGCCCCGCCACCCTACCTGCGGCCCCGCCACCTCGCTCTCGGCCCCGTCACCTGCTGCAGCGCCGCCCGCCACCCTAGCCGCCCGAGCCGTCTCACCCGGCCGAGCAGCTGACCGCCGTGCCGCCCTTCAGCAGCACAACCGAGCCGCCCGACAGCAGAGCGGCCGAGCCGCCCAGCAGCCGAGCCGCCCGGCAGCCGAGCCGCCCTGCAGCCGAGCCGCCCAGCAGCCGAGCCGCCCTGCAGCCGAGCCGCCCAGCAGCCGAGCCGCCCAGCAGCCGAGCCGCCCAGCAGCCGAGCCGCCCAGCAGCCGAGCCGCCCAGCAGCGGAGCCGCCGACCCGCCGAGCCGCCCAGCAGCTGAGCCGCCGAGCCGCCGCGCCGCCCTCCTTCCGGGCCGCCCGACCTGCCCAGTCTGGTGAGCACAGCGCCTTTTCACTGCACTGCCCTCACCCTACTGTTTGCGCTGCTAGTCGTCTAGGGTCATGGCTACCCCTAGTGTTCTCGTCTTTGACGGTGAGGGTCGGGCCATTGACTTTGAGGTCTGGGTAGATGACCTGCAGCTGTTCTTACAGTGCGATAGGGCAGACGGCCTCTCTCTCTTTGACCTCACCTCTGGCGCCTCCACTGCCCCTGCTGCTGATGCTGACGCCACTGTTCGCTCCCAGTGGGCCACGCGCGACGCAGCTGCACGTCTTGCTGTGCGTCGCCACCTCCCTACCTCCGAGCGTGCGCACTTTAGTCAGTACAAGAGTGCTCAGACCTTGTACGACACTGTAGTTGCGCGCTA